TTTCTTAATGAATAATTAGAATTTAGCAAAAAAAAATTCGTACTTTTGTAGTCCTACATAAATTCTACAAAGTTACGATTTTTTTTTTACAAAATTTTAAATATTCATTGAGAAATTACGATTTAAAAAAAACGTAACATAATTTTAATGTGGCTTTACTTGGCGAAAGTGAGCGGATCATCGCCATATAAAGATAGATTACACAAATTGTCTGCCAATACGTTACATATATACACAAATGGCATCGACGGTATTACAAAAAATTTCATTAGATTTCTATATAGAACAAATAAAATTGTTTTCTAGAATATCTATTTAGTAGGCATTTATTTAGCTGGAGTTTTTAGAGTGAATTTTTTTTTAAATTAGACCGCACAAATAAAAGAAATTGGTTGATTTAAGAAATATATCGATTTAATAAAATTTTCCAACATTAATTTAAACATGAATTTTTGATTTAATATTGAATGCACTTTCGTTAATGTTCCTGTAGTTCTCTTGTGATAATGGAGAGAACGAAACTAATTGTATCAATATTTCGGTTTGTGAACTAAAATCTAATATAAGAGGCTGTTACTGATAGTTTTAAAAAGCAAAAATTAAAAATACGTGGCGAGTCTAAAAAACGATCCTGATATGCATTCACGTTGGGAAGCCCATAGAGAAACTTATCGTATAGTATGCGAATACAATGAATCAATTGCAAGTTTAAATAGATTAAGCAATCATGAAACCATTTTTTATATAAAAAAATGCAAAGAATCACTTAGATTTAATTGAACAGGTCATTAAAAATCGATCAAAACAACGCACTTTCATTAAAACGACTACAACCACCATTCTTTCACCATCTCTACGAATTGTGAATTAACATAATAAAATATTGCATCCCGTTGATTCAAAAATCCTTCATCCACTAACACTTTTAATGCCTTAGTAAACAATGCAGCTACTTGTTGAATACTAGGTTTAGAATTAGAATTCTAAAAATATCAAACATTAAAAAAAAATATTTAATTGTTAATTACAATAAAATACGTACATAATTATCATTTTATAATATTACGCTTACCAAATTGGCCGCTACTTTTGTAGCCAGTTCATGTAATATAGTAGACTGTCTTATCCTTACTATACTAAATCTAATTAAGTTGTTTTTATAAATATATCGCGTAACTGAATTGATAAACTTATCTTCTGTTAGTTGCGAAGA